GACCCAAGTTGGCTGACGTTCTTCCCAGGGCGGCGATGGCACCTGGGAGGCTTGTGGCGTGCGAGTGTGTGTATATGACTGTGTGTGTGTATGTGCGCGCGCGCGCTCACGCGATTTGGGGCGTGTGTGTGTGTGTGTGTGTGTGTACCATCGCACCGTTTGTTTCTTGGAGGCTTTGGGCTTGGAGAGAGAGGAAGCGAGCCGGCTCTTGGCTGCTGGTTTGGGATTAGCAGGGGCAAGGGAAAGGGGATCGATGCCTGTGGGAGATCTCTGGCCAGACTCACAGGTGCGGGGGTGTGCCCGTTTAGACCCTGAGGGAGGGACGCGGAAGCAGGCTTAAGGAGAGATGAGAAGTTGGGGGTGCTTTTTTTCCCCTTTCCTGGCACTGAGGGAAAGGAGAAGAGGAGAACGAGTGGGCTGGGTGACCGTGGGAGGCGACCCGGGCGGTCAACAGGGCGCTATCCAGAGGCGGCGGTGCTGAAATGCAGGGTGTGCCGGAGCTGGCTGCGGGCACACGTGTTTACCGGGAGCCTGAGGATCGCTGAGCTCTTCTAGGGCTCTTTAGTGAAAGCCACATCATATCGGCAAACACTGGGAGAGGTGTCTTACACTAAAAATATTCTCTCTAAACCTAAAAGGTGCGTTGAACTGGGTCCGCTTATTAAAAACCTCACAAAAAGAATACAGAATTACTTTGAGCCAGGGGTAGGCACATGTATAGGATCCGAGGAGAGGGTCTGAGAGGTAGCCATCCTTTCCTCACCATCCCCTCAGCTTTGAAAGGCGTTTTATGAGGAGCTAATACGTACTTACCTAGGAAATAAAGCCTTTTTGTTAAGCATCAGGGTAGAGCAGAGCATCTCTTCAGTCCTCTAAAGGAATATCAGACAGAGCATTGGGAATACTGTACTTTCACTTTCTTTTGCTTCTCATGTCTTCAGCCTTGTCCTTCCTTTTCTTTCCGCTCACATTTCCTCTAGCCATTTTATGTGGGTGTACTGTAGTCCTCCCACTTGCCCAGATGGGGATGGACTTTTCCTCTGGAACTTCTTGGCTCTAGGAATTTTTCCTGAGCCAGGAGACACTCCGCCTTCTTCCTGGGGCCAAAGATGTAGTGAATCCTGCTTGTTTTGGGGTTTGCGAGAAGGACAGATTTAGATAGAAAACCAAGGATTCTGTCTTGCGTCTGAAGAGAGTTTGGTAACAACGATAAAGGCTTTTATTAAGTCAATGCTGGCCTGCCAGTTCTTCATGACTTTACAGGATAGAATATGTGGGAAAAGGAATGGATTACAATAGGGAGGTTTAGACCGAGAATAGGTGAAAAGAGACTTTTGACAGTAGTGACTATTTGCTTGTTATTGGAACTGAGGAAGAAGACAGTATCTGTCCATAAAACCTTTTGAGTGTCCATTAGTCACATGTGATCCAGAGAACAACGTGGAAGGAGGAGGTGGTATGCTCACTGTGCAAAAGTCTTTGTTTAATTAGGCAAGGAGCTTATAACCTAATAAAGGATCTATCACATGTGCATGTGAAAAGGAAACAAGAACACAAAATATAAACTCAACTGTTTTTTTCGTACAATCTGTTATGAGAATCTTAGAGCTCATGATAAATATTATAATCGATTTTTGTAGAGTAGTTTCTAGTTTACAAAGCCTTTTCATATGTGTTGTGTCACATTCCTAATAGCAAACTTACAAGAAAGGCACCGTTCTCTCCATTTTACAAATGAAAAACAGATGTTCACAGGCTAAGGGACTTTCTTAAGTGGCTTAAGTGACATGGAGAGCATGCGGCAGACTTGAGACTTTCTGAGTCCACTTGCAGAGGCCTTTGAACTGTACCAAACGCGGAGACAAGGGCTCACTAAACTGCTGACTGCATAATTCCATGACCTCTATTTTCTTCAAACATATACTAATAGAGATTGGAAGCAAATGGGCCATCAACTAAATGAGATTCCTAAATATGCATTTCCTTAAGAGCTCCTTCTCACTTCTAAAGAAAACAATTACCCACAAACTATTTTCTACTTTTAAATGGCTTTTTAAATTTCCTCTCCAACAATACAGAAATAATTAATGCAATAAAATTATCAACAGTTTCTTTAAGTTGCCTGAAATTTGTAATGGAAACATTTTTTTAAGACCTAAACAGAACTTTGGTGTTAGACACTTTTAATAGAGCTGTATTTTGAAATGCAGTTGTTAACCAAAGGAAAAAAAGACTATCAATGAAAAGAGAGGTGGCATTCAGAACTAAAAACTCACTACCTCTGTAAAGTAGTCCTTGTATGGTTGTCAATATTTGTAAAATATTTTAAAATGAAATTTCCCCTTTACTCTGAAAGGGGAGTTGATATTATTCCTATTTGTGGCTATAGAAACATATAGTAAAAAAATAACATTTGTATAGAGATATCTGAAACCTATATACTTTACTGTAATTAAAATGTTTTCAGGGCTAAATACAACATTTTTGGAAAAAGTAAACCCATGATCTAACAATGTTTTGTTTCATGGGTCTACCTTATTACATAAGAAGATAATGTTATGCCCGTTTTTTTAAACATGTACTTTCTTAGTTAATACGTATATAGAGATTCTATTTCAGTTTAACTCCTTTTTATATTTACATGGCTAAATTTGTCAATGAACCTACCACTGGGAAATCAGATAGCAAATTAAATAGAAAAGTAAGAAAACAACTGATCAGATTAGTTTTGCCATAAAAAAAAAATTTAAGGAATTGAGGGACTTGATCACAGCAGAAATGTATCCTGTTTCTTGATGGTTGCAAAATCATTGGATTTCCCAGTTTTTCTATTTCAAAATATTTTTGCTTTGAACCACTGGGTCTTTTGCAAAGAGACACGATCCAGTTTGTAACTCCCAAAGGTTAATGAAGATGGCTCTCTCTATTTGTTGTGGAAGTGGAAATGCAGCCCCTGTGCTACAACTAGAAGTCAAATGAAAAATGAGTTTGAGTTGCTACTAATATGTAGAGAACTGTCAGAAATCGAGAAATTGTTTAATATGCTTGCAATGTCTATTTTAAAGGCACACATTTACTCCATAATAGTTGTTAAGTAAATAAAAAAAAATAAGTGAATGTATAGACTCTTGTTCCAGCTAGAGGAATCAACCACACACAAAGGCAGAGGTGGTGAGACAGACAGCCATGACACATTAGAACTAAGAAAAGTTCAGGATGGTTCAAGGAGAAAGGGAATGAGAGATAAAACTGGGAAAGTAGGTGGAAATATGATAAATTATGAAGGCTTATAAGTCATGTTAAAGAATTTAGATTTTATCAAAATTAAATGGATAATCTCTGCGTTGTGTTAGGCAATAGATGTGAAAGTAATCTATACATGACTGAGAAAGAGAATGAAAACTCAGTTTTGAAAGTGTTTCCTTTAAAAAGATTCAAGTCTAAATTTTATAATATTGTCTCCTCAGCCACCAATAGTGATCCCTTAATACATATTTAATGATACTGTGAAATATACACTTTTTAGTACAGTTCTCGTTCATTTCTAAAGTGTTTAAAATCATCCCAAATTGCTCAAAAATATCCTAAGGACACAAAGGAATGCATTACATATTTCTTCAACACCAGCTCTGTTTTGTTTTTAAACAATAACACAAATTTTGGTCAAAACAAAGACATTTAAAGTAATTATTTAGGATTTGATATAACAGACTAAGAACTGGGATATAGGGATTTATTTTAGAGAGAATACATTATTTCTTCCTATGTCCCACATCTCAATATATGCAAATGTAGGATCAGTTTACAAGGGATGAAGTTTTCCATTGCCAGTGGTTTTCCAATTATAATCATTCAGTTGCACGGAATGCATTTGCTGCTTTTGGATACAGTTTGGCAGATAGCTTCAGAAATATTTTAGCTCAAAAAGATGCCAACAGCTTACATGGTGGTGTGACTCAGGCCATCCTCCTGACACCGAGGCCATCCTCAGGGACACATCCTCCTCCTCTATAAACTGTGCAGCAACGGCAGATGTTACAAACTCTATCAGCCTCAGCATCTTCCCTGTTGTCATTTTAATAATGGAGCTAAACTGATTTGAAATTCTTTACACACCACTACCATTAAACTGTTTTCCATTACATCTATTGCACAGTTCTCTTAGGTCTGGACAAGTGAGCCAGCCAGGACGATTCTTGTTATTCTGGG